TATATATATTAATTTGAGGTGCTTTCCTTGACAAAAAGCTCACCAGGAAAAGGAGACAAGGATGCCACTCCCTCACCTCAAATTAAAAAATATTAATTTGAGGTGCTTTCCCTGACAAAAAGCTCGCTAGAAAAGAGACACAAGTGATGATGATGATGACGATGATGCAGCCGAAGACAAAGTCTCCCACACCTCCCATGAAAAAACATTAATTTGAGGTGCTCTCCCTGACAAAAAGCTCACCAGGAAAAAGAGACAAGGATGCCTCCCACACCTCAAATTAAAAAATATTAATTTGAGGTGATTTCCCTGACAAAAAGCTCGCTAGAAAAGAGGCACAAGGATGCCACTGAACAATTGGGCAATGGATGACTGTCATGATAACGATCATCGTAGCATCACGGCTTCTTCTTGGCTGGCTTTCCAACGCAATTGACCCCGGCAGGACTCGAACCTGCTATCACCGGCTCCATGGGCCGATGCTTTATCCATTGGGCCACGGGGCCATTGACCCTGCTGCTCCACACAGGCTTCCTGCGCGAGTTCCTTGGCGCGACCATGATGATAATGGCACGGGCGTGATGATCGTTATCATCCGCGTCATGACAACTATCATCACAACATCCTCTGCATCTCTACTGGTTCCTGGAAAACTATCATCATCACATCCTTTGCATTGCCAAGGATGTCTAACGTCCCTTTTGATTTCTATATATAATAAGATGTTAGATGATGCTAGGTGATGATCAGATGATGATAAAGATGATGACAAGGATGATAACTATCATTGTAGCATCCTTAGCATCACTAACGGCTGTGATGAGAAGTATCATCGCAGCATCCTCTGCATCACCAATGCTGCGTGATAAGAAATGACGACGACCATGATGATAATGGCGCGGGCGTGATAATCGTTATCATCCGCGTCATGACAACTATCATCACAACATCCTCTGCATCACTACTGGTTCCTTGATAACTATCATCATCCCATCCTTTGCATTGCCGAGGATGTCGAACGTCCCTTTTGATTTCTATATAAAATAAGATATTAGATGATGCTAGGTGATGATCAGATGATGATAAAGATGATGACAAGGATGATAATTATTATCGTAGTATTTTTAGCGTCACAACCGACTGTGATGATAACTACCATTGCAGCATCCTCTGCGTCACCAATGCTGCGTGATAAGAGACGACGACGACCATGATGATAATGGCACGGGCGTGATGATCGTTATCATCCGCATCATGACAACTATCATCACAACATCCTCTGCATCTCTACTGGTTCCTGGATACGTATCATCATCGCATCCTTTGCATTGCCAAGGATGTCTAACGTCCCTTTTGATTTCTATACATAATAAGATGTTATATGATGCTAGGTGATGATCAGATGATGATAAAGATGATGACAAGGATGATTACTGTCATCGTAGCATCCTTAGCATCACTAACGGCTGTGATGAGAAGTATCATTGCAGCATCCTCTGCGTCACCAATGCTGCGTCAGTGCTAAGACATGACGACGGCCATGATGATAGTGGCACGGGCGTGATGATCGTTATCATCCGCGTCATGACAACCATCATCACAACATCCCCTGCATCTCTACTCATTCCTGAATAACTATCATCCTCGCATCCTTTGCATTGCCAAGGATGTCTAACGTCCCTTTTGATTTCTATATGTAGTAAGATATTTGAGGATGCTAGGTGATGATCAGATGATGACAAAGATGATGACAAGGATGACAACTTTCATCGTAGCACGGCTGTGATGAGAAGTATCATTGCAGCATCCTCTGCGTCACCAATGCTGCGTGATAAGAGACGACGACGACCATGATGATAATGTCACGGGCGTGATGATCGTTATCATCCGCGTCATGACAACTGTCATCGCAACATCCTCTGCATCACTACTTGTTGCTTGATAACTATCATCATCGCATCCTTTGCAGTGCCAAGGATGTCTAACGTCCCTTTTGATTTCTATATATAATAAGGTATTAGATGATGCTAGGTGATGATCAGATGATGATAAAGATGATGACAAGGATGATAACTATCATCGTAGCACCCTTAGCATCACTAACGGCTGTGATGAGAAGTATCATCGCAGCGTCCTCTGCATCACCAATGCTGCGTGATAAGAAATGACGACGACCATGATGATAATGGCGCGGGCGTGATGATCGTTATCATCCGCCTGATGACAACTATCATCACAACATCCTCTGCATCACTACTTGTTCCTTGATAACTATCATCATCGCATCCTTTGCATTGCCAAGGATGTCTAACGTCCCTTTTGATTTCTTTATAGAATAAGATATTAGACGATGCTAGGTGATGATCAGATGATGCTAAAGATGATGACCAGGATGAGAACTATCATCGTAGCATCCTTTGCATCACTAACGGCTGTGATGAGAAGTATCATCGCAGCATCCTCTGCGCCACCAATGCTGCGTGATAAGAGATGAGGACGACCATGATGATACTGGCACGGGCGTGATCATCGTTATCATCCGCGTCATGACAACTATCATCACAACATCCTCTGCATCACTACTTGCTCCTTGACACCTATCATCATCGCATCCTTTGCGTTGCCAAGGATGTCCAACCTTTTGATTTCTATATAAAATATGATATTCGATGATGCTAGGTGATGATCAGATGATGATAAAGATGATGACAAGGATGATAATTTTTATTGTAGCATTTTTAGCGTCACTAACGGCTGTGATGATAGCTACCGTTGCAGCACCCTCTGCGTCACCAATGCTGCGTGATAAGGGACGACGACGACCATGATGATAATGGCACGGGCGTGATGATCGTCATCATCCGCGTCATGACAACTGTCATCACAACATCCTCTGCATCTCTACTGGTTCCTGGATACGTATCATCATCGCATCCTTTGCATTGCCAAGGGTGTCTAGCGTCCCTTTTGATTTCTATATAATATAATAAGATATCAGAGGCTGTGATGATAACTATCATCGATGCTGCGTGATAAGAGATGACGACGACCATGATGATAATGGCACGGGCGTGATGATCGTTATCATCCGCGTCATGACGACTATCATCACAACATCCTCTGCATCTCTACTGGTTCCTGGATAACTATCATCATCGCATCCTTTGCATTGCCAAGGATGTCTAACGTCCCTTTTGATTTCTACATATAATAAGATATTAGATGATGCTAGGTGATGATCAGATGATGATAAAGATGATGACAAGGATGATAACTATCATCGTAGCATCCTTAGCATCACTAGCGGCTGTGATGATAACTATCATCGCAGCATCCTCTGCATCACCAATGCTGCGTCATAAGAGATGACGACGACCATGATGACAATGGCACGGGCGTGATGATCGTTATCACCCGCGGATAGTTATGATCGTAGCACCCTTGGCATCACTAACGGCTGTGATGATATCTATCATCGTAGCATCCTCTGCATCACCAATGCTGCCTGATAAGAGATGACGACGACTATGATGATAATGATGATAAGGATAAGAGAATAAGAAAGAGATGATGATAAGGATGATGATGATGACGATGACTGTGATGATAACAATCATCGTAGCTGCTGATGCTGATGAGGATGAAACTTTGGTTATACTTGTGCGCCAACCACCCTTCCCGCGCGCCTCCCCTTTTTAGAGAAAGGGTCGGCGGATATATATATATATATATACATATATGCCCATATATATATATATGTATATATATACATGTATACCCTTTTTCGCAGCTTCCAATGGCAGAATCTCCAAAATTGAACTTAATCGGCCCACTTTTCTTGGTCCTTAGGTGTCCTGCATGTGCTGGGACCCAGTCCCAATTGGGATTCCTCCATAGGACTGGGGAGGCCTGTTGCCTGATTCAGACGAGGCTGCACCCTGTTCTCTTTCGATCCCACAACCTGTTCGAGGGCTGGGAAAAGTGTCCACAGCCAGCCGAGCCTTTGAAGCGAAGACTTCGGGGAGTCAGGTTTGTGCGTCTTCCTTTGGATCTTGTTGGAGTTGAAGGCGAAACCAAAGGGAAAGCACCTATTTGGGGAGTTCCATTTGATGCGCCATCTGATGCACGTAGAAAGGCCAAAGATATTTGCGGTGACGGCATGACTCGGAAATTGTGACTACACAGCCCAAAAGACGAACCGTGGTTCATTTGGGCTCAGCAGAAGGCGCATACACGGCTTGGGGTCTTGTTTGGTCCCACCATGTCTTTCGCCGCGTTTTGTTTTTTTTGGGGTTCAACACGCACGACCCGTGTACGCTCTGAGAGACCTCGATTCGAGCGTGCCCGATGGTTTCGGTTATGTTGTGGTGGGTACGGAGCCAGCGGGGAATTCAGGCGGTCCTCTACGTTTCACGGGGGTTCCATGCTGGATCCGCTGGCGATATCGGATGCCATGAGCGCCGGACAAAAAAACCCTGCTGAAAGGAAAGCCAGAGATGCTCTTGTGGATGCCAGAGAGTGGAGAGTTGAGCACTGTCAATCTACGCCTAGCAAGATCAGAAGGGCATCCGGTTTGAGGACGTCAAGCTGCACACACTGCTAGCTCAGCCATGATGCCCCGTATCCCTTCGCATGAATCATACTTCAAGCTCGCGTATGATTGTGCTTGCATTGTACAAATGAGGCTTGTTGGCACACACACACACACACACACCAGTATAGGTCATTGAAAACATTTCCAAATGCAAACTAGATGGTCCATCCCTTGTGCAGAAAATGGGGCGGGGGAGGGGGTCTCCCTTTAACGCACCACTTAGGGTGTGACTTTGGTAAATTGTTCAGGCCAGTTGTGTTCCATGATGGGGGCTAGGGGGAAGGAGCCCAAATGAACCCTTAAGCCCCGAAGACCTGAAAAAAGGGAGTATTTGCCCCCCCCCTCCCTGCCACCCAGCCCCCCGGGAAGAAAGATCAGGCCCTTGCGCAAGCATCTCGATCTCGAGGTGTCTGCGCCTGGGGCGGGCAAGAGCCACCACATGTCGGCGCTGCGGGGGCGCCTTCAGGAGACTCCAATCGCTCGTTGCCTCGCTCGCATGGTCGCGAATGGGCCGAGTTTAGAAACCAAGACAAGGGACCCGTGGTTTTGTGTGGTGAAAAATAGGCTCAGGTGATATCCCCAACAGCACGAGGCACATTTGCGGGTGGGGTTGAGACATGTATGCATTTGACTTGTACATCATAAGCCGTTGTAAACCAAGTGATGCAGCTCGGCGCTCGATTGTCGTGAAGGTCTGCAATGTGGTTTCGGTGTTTGTTTGCGGCTGATTACACGAGTCTCAATTTTCCATTTGCGCGGTTCCTGACGATAGGAAGAGATGCAGTTCGACATTCACGAGCCTGAGCCCGAGACGTGTCGTGGCTGTCTCATGCCAACCGAATCTGTTTGAGTTGGAGCTTCGCAGACACCGGTAAATCTATGCAACGTTCTCCCTCCGTGCCTGAACTTTAGAACTTTAGACGTTTGGGCCATTGTAGAGGCACCAAATAGTTTGGGCTGTATTTTGGCCATCCACTCAAGTGAGGCAAGTCCATCCATGCCAAGCCCAAGCACGGGTGTTCGGAGTGTGGGCCTTTGACCTCAAGATTTGTAGTTCCGCACCCGCAGGGCATTGCGTTTTGGGAGCTAAGTCCTGGTGAGTCGTAGGTTAGTTAACCCCCCCCTATCCCCCCCCCACCCCACAAATAGGGTTTTGAGTGGCTTCACTGAAGGGTTGTTCATGCGATTCTCTGATTCGCTCGCAACCTTTGCACATGATGCACATGTGTGGGATCACTTGCCGAGTCTCAGATGAAGATCAACTAGCAAGGCAACCAAGTGTCCTATGTCCAAGCACCAGTGGGCAGGCATCTATAATTACAGTAGATGTTGGATTTCCCCCTCACGGCACGTGGTCAAGTAGCAAGGGATACCCTAAAGGCCAACTCAGCCCAAATGGACATACCCCCACCTTTTTGGGCCTTAGGTTGATTAAATTTTGGGGGTGCATATAGTCTATATTGTGTATCTCCACTACTTTTCTCGGTGTTTTCCAGCTGTCTTAGGTTTTTAGGTTGCTTTTCTTGGTTTAGTGGTTGGGTTTCCGAATTGAACCCACAAGTTCAACTTTTAGCAGGGATCTGAGGACGAGATGCAGGCACGGGTACAACGAGCGGAACCTATGATGTAGGTCCTGTACTTGGGGGAACTCTGATTTCAGTTGTTGCACATGTTCTAGTTTGCAGCAGAAAAAAAGGACAGCCCAAATTTGGGGGGTATGCAACTCCAAGGTTCGATGGCTCCTCTGACATCTTGGTGACCACCGCCTTGGCAGAGGCGAGTGGCCGGTACAAATTTGGGTGGAGCTCGTCGATTTTTTTGAGGGTATCCTTCTCCTGTGAAGGGAAACAAACATTTGTTTTGTTTTTCTTTTGGGGGGGGGCTAACTTGTTGAGGGTACCTTTTTCTTGAAAAGGGAAACCACACATATCTTGGGAAGCAAGTCGACCGGATCTGAGCTTTTTTTGTGCCCATGTTGGTCCAAGGGCCTCTGGGCAAGTGAGGCTAGTAGGCGGATGTTTTCCCCCTGGACTTGAAGCAGCCAAGGATCTCCTCTTATTTCTTGGTTAAATTGCGTCCTTGGTCCCAACCAAGCGTCAAGACCCAGCGGAACGCCTCGGAAGTTCTGTTTTCAGAGCCACCTGGATGCTGAAAAAATCCTTGGGCGGACAGCAGCTGTCGCGACCCGTGCTTCCCTTGAAAGTATAATATGGTCGAGGGTGCTTTGACTCGCAGCTGAGAATATACGCATCTCGCGTTTGACTTTTAGCCCCTTGGAAGGGGCCTCGTCTGCCGCAAGATGCCGACGGAAAAAAACGGCGTGTCAAGTTTTGTTTGGTGCCCCTGGACACTTTTTGTCTGGCAACCATTTAAAATGGCATGTCCGTTTCAGGTGTTCCCCCTCATTTGGCAGCTTGAACATTTTGCAGGTCTTGCAGCGAACGATGATCTCCCAGAGCACCATGCCACTTGGATTCGCAATGCTCGGGTTCATGGCTTGGAGTAAACCATAGCAGCCCGTGTCACCCTTTCAGCAATTCAGCCATTTCATCGAGTCGTGGACGCCCGGAGTTGGCAAAACCTTCAACCGTACTTAACTGGCAGCACCCCAGGTTGCACTCCTAGGTCCCCCAGTAGTGCCTCTTTACCCTTTTTGGGGGCAGGGTTTCCCTACTAAAATAGACGACAGGAACAAGAAAAAAAGTTAGTACCCTTGTTCTAAGCTCTCCACTGGAGGACCTAGACTTGGTGTCTATATGAGCCCCCGCCGGATTTTCTTGAGATGCGAGTCCCGGGTTCACAGAGCGGCCAACTGGACGCGCGAGCTCAGGCACTCACAGAAGCTGCCGGGGGCTCGCTGCGGCT